CTATGAAAGCACTAGAGTACTGGGCCAGTGCATTTACACCAGCATCAAATTTAACTTAGTATTCTTAAAGTGTCTATTTTACATTAGCTACTGTCTTCTCGTCTTCTCCTGAGTCTATTTGTTTCTACATCTTCTTCAAACGGGACGCTTTCCCCCCTCCCTCAACAAGGCAGATATATACAATAGCTTGTGGTAGATGTAAGTCACAAAGCAACCATCAGATTGGCTACATTTGCAAGAAGGACTGTCCAAGCGGCAAATCTCAACGTTTACCCAACAACACGATTTAGGCGTTAGTATGCTATTGCAGATTGACGCTCGTGGGCGAAAAGTTTTAACCGTAAATGCAATGAAAAAGCATTTATCCCCATATCCATGCCACAAAAACAGGGTTTAAGCATCGGCTTGGTGAACTCACCAATTTTTGACATATTTGTCATCCCTGATGAGGCACATGAGCATCCTCGTCCCCAGACCTGCTCGTCCCACTTATGCGGGCTGGGCCTGTGCACAAGGAACAAGTAGCTCTGAAAAAGTCCAGTCACATAAGCCTTTCTAAACTACCTTGCAAGAAAAAGATTTTGAAACGGATGTGTTGCGATTGGATTCCCTTTGTAAGTTTCTACCCAATTAAATCTTAAGTCCCCAGAGCCACTTGTTCCTAACCCTAACCGTTGTTCCCTAGCCGGTTAAGAGAATTAAGCGGCTCTGGGGAAGCGAGTAGGCACATGGATTGCTCTTTTTTTTAACCAACATATTTTCCTCATAGGTCAATGGCCTCCTGGTCATTATTGCATTCTGGCCAGTGGATCATGCCCACCCGGATTTTCCCGTTCCCAGGGACACATGCGTGCCTTGAAGATGTACTCTCACACCCCCACTTACATCACTCCGGCCACGTTCGGAAGCAGTCGGATCCAGTGTCACGGACCCTGTGGCCGGTACGGGCAGTGGGTCGGAGAACTGTACATCGCAGCATGTTGCAAGTGATGGAGAATCACAACTATTCTTCCATACCACAGTCAGCCCAACGTACATAGCATTGTTACACGAATGATACTAGGAAACTAGGGCAACCTATATGCCAAATATTAACTTACAAAACTTGCTATGTATGGTATTAGTGATGCTCTAATAAAGTGCTTGAAAACATAACCTTGTTTACAGCCTGTTAAATAAACTCGCAGAACTCCATAGATAGGAAAATTTTTGTCACCCAGAAGAAAGGCAGTTAACACAATTAGATTATTTTCCGTTATAGATCTAGACGAAGTGAATTTAATTTTGTGATTAGAATTAATTTTTTAAGGCTTATGCTTATCTTATAAGAAATTGCTCGCGCAAACAGTAATGAACAAAACATGGAAACAAAACTCGGCAGGTTAAGGTGGTGGCAAATAGGTAGCTATGAAATGAGCAAGTAAATGAAAAAAGTCTCTTATCAGTGAAACTGCCTGGTGGCGTTTTACCAAAATAGATAAAAGGCTGCATTTTAAGTGACAAAGTGCCATTTTTTCTGAATCTTGAGTCGGTATTAGGCTTTATGTATGCAACGGGAATAATTTTAATTTTACCAAGTAGGGCGACATTTAGGCTAGCATATGAGCAAGAAGTTTAATCTATATACCTGGTGTGTGTTTTTTTTTTTTGGGACCAAAAAAAGATGAGGCTCTACATTTCACTGTTTCAAAGAGACGAGAAAAGGGCCATTTTTGTCCTTCAGCTGGAGTCAGAATTAGGCTTTATGTATGCATTGGCAATGATGACTGAAAACAGAATTTTGGGATAAAATTTCTAAAATTAATGTTTCCTGACTTCTTACTGGTTCATTGTCCAATGTTAATTTACCTTAGGTAAATTTTTTCTGTATTTTAGTGGCCTCCCTTTCCGGGAAATGGGGGCGAAGTGGAGCTTGGCTCATTAACGGGGTACCTTTGGCAGGAATTATTCGTGTTTTAAAAATGTTTTATTGTGTTTAAAAGGGACGTCTGAAAAAATAAGGGCGTTCTTTAATTAATGTACAAGAACACCACAACAAAAATGAAGTTCTATGACAAGTCACTGCACATAATGTATCGTCCGAAACAAATTTTCCGATCAGAGAGAGCCTATAACCAGAAGAAGCTATTATTTTAGTGTTTCTACTCCGGAAGGAGAGCGGGCGCGCAGGTTGGGGGTGAGGGGAAGGGGGCAGTTGTCCTTATTATACAAAGGACGTTCGCATCGCAGAAGATTTGCTATTTATGTGACAACCATTAGCGTCCTTCGCCCACTCCCCTAAAAAAATAGTTTTTTGATAAGGGAGGGGGAAGATAGGCTCGATTACCAGCCTCTGTTCGGGAAGATGTGCCCGCGTTCTTCCCCCCCCCCCCCCCCCCCCCCCCCCCCCCCCCCCCCCCCGGCGCGCCCGCGCCCCGGCCGCCCCCGCCGCCGGCGGCCCCGCGCGAGGGGGACACAGAGAACACAAAGAAAGACTATTGAGGAAGAGTATGTAGTTAAC